CTCCCCACTCTGACCACATCTCCCCTGTGCTCTGAAGCCCCCACTATGAGCCTCCCCACTCTGACTACCTCTCCCCTGTGCTCTGAACCCCCCGCTATGAGCCTCCCCACTCTGACCACCTTCCCCTGTGCTCTGAACCCCCTCACACTATTTGTCCCACTGCATCTGCACTGATCCTGGCCCCGTGCTCCCCTGGGCTCACTCCTCCTGTGCAGGTGCCCAAGGTAGGGTGAAGTCTGGCTTCAGCAGGGGAAGCTGAGGCTGAGAGGGCAGTTCAGAGCCTCTGAAACTTCATAAAGACTGGACCTCCAGAAAACCCTGGTGGCCCAGGGAGGTGCCAGAGGCCTACTGAGGGGAACCACACAGCTGCCATGGCCTGGGGTCAAGGGTCTGTCCTGACTCTGCTGATCAGTCTCCTGTCCTTCTTAGTCGTGCTGACCACGGGATCTGAGGATGAGGCCCCTGCACAGCCCAGCCTGCCCCCCGAGGCAGCCCAGGAGGGTGACCTGCACCTGCTGTGGGAGGCCCTGGCCCGGAAGCGTCGCATGAGCCGTGAACCCACGCTGGACTCCATCAGTGAGCTGCCTGAGGAGGATGGTCGTTCACCACGCCCGCGGCAGGAGGTAGAAGAAGCGGCCCCAGACCTCTCTGAGGACTACTCCACAGCAGACGAGCTGGCACGCACTGGCGAGGCCGACCTCTCGCACACCAGCTCTGACGACGAGTCCCGGGCAGGCACCCCCTCCCTGGTTACCTACCTCAAGAAGGCTGGGAAGCCCAGCACCTCACCACTGGCCGGCAAGGTGAGTGTCCAGTGTGGCCTTCGAAGAGAGGCCTGGATGTCTCAGATCTTCATCAGCCATATGCCCACCCATTTCTCCATTATCCATACATCTGTCCATCTAACATCCATTTATACAACCACCTATCCACTCACCACCCATCTGCCATCCATTCTCTGTCCATGCATCCATCCATCTACTACCAACCCACCCATCTATGCATCCATCGATCCACCACTCACCATCCATCCTTCCACCATTCACCCACCCATCCACCATCCCCCCACC